AGCTATAAAGACACACAGGGAAGATACTGTTATGACAAGACAGGTGATGGGAACATGTGTAAAACTTTAAAAAGGAATAATCCTGGCACCAAACAGACTTTAGTTTACTGTACAGTAGCTTTTCAACTAGGCGCTGGAGGTCTTTCTTGTAAGAAAAATTTATCAAAGGAAACATAAAAATGATTTATGGTTTGGAGTCCTAACAAAAACACAAACAATGACTAAGACTGAGTCAAAATCAAACAAGCAAACACAAAATGTTATAGAAACTAAATTTTCCCAACAGGAGTAGCTTGTGAAACATCCCTTAGCAGCAACAACCAGATAGATTTCTGTATGAGCATCAGTACCACACATCTTTGCGATATTGCCCAACCATTCTTCCCTATTATTGCTTCAGATCAGTAAGACTTGTGAACATTAAAGCTGAAGTCTGTAAGTTTTTAAAAATCACTTTTTTGTCATATTGGCTAAAACTGTCCCTATGCCCAGACAGCAGTTCATGTGATATGTAACCTGTGAAAAAACTGCTTCAATTGGTCCCGCATACTGCCTGTATTTCAATCTGGAAAGAATAATTCGGGACGAGTCAAAACAACCAATCACAGCCAGAGGAGCATCTGATACATACATCTGAGTGTCAATCACAGCTCACACACGCTGAATCCCGCCCCCTCCCTCTCACCGCTTAACCTGCCGCTGCCGCCCGGCTGCTGCAGTCAGGAGGACGCGCGTGGAAGTCATGGCGGAGCGACAGCCACCAGCGAAAGAGAAACTGCCCTTACTGCCCCTGCCGACAACTGCTTACACGGCAAACTTGGGTATAACCAGCATCTTATATCTAGCTGCTTGGAGGTGAGTGTTATCGCTCCTACCGGTTCACACTCCATGCAGCGTACGCTGCTTGGACGCTTCTGGTCGCATGCGGTAGCCGCGCAGATGCGGTGAGAGGGGTGGAGCTTGGAGGTGGGGCATGAGTGAAGCAGAGAGGGTGGGGGAGTGGCGTGAAACCTGTTTTTCTTCAAATTTTCAGTCGAAGTCTGCTCTCGTCTCAATGTTACAGACTGCAGCTTTAATGCAAAGCTTTACAACCAAATCAAGGTCTGACTGGACCACTTCAGTGCACTCATTGGGTTCTTTTTGAGCAATTCCACTATGGGTTTGCTGTTATGATTACCCAGTTTGGCCAAGTGCCAGTTGCGAAACAGAAAACCTCACAATTGACCATGACGGCATGGTGCCCAGGTCCTATGGCTACAACACAAGCCTAAATTAACACATTTACACCACCGCACCTGACAGTTTCTATGAGAAACTTATATGCTGTGATTGGTTTTAGCCAGACATGCACTGTAGCTCCACTCTGGTATCCCCTGTCCAAAATACAACGTTCCAATCATTTAGATGCACCTTTGTAAGATTGAGTTTAAAAAGAGTTAAGAGACATCAGGCTTTGCCTGTTTATTCACTATAAATAAGCCACATCCAGGACGCCAAATAAGGCCTGCAGAGTCTGATAATAGTCTACTTTTTGGGTGAAATTGCTGGGCTGTCCACTCCAGGGAAGAATTGTCTTTTCCACATAACAATAATCATTATTTTTGTGGAGTTATTGACTTCAAATCGTTTAAAAATTATACTGTAACAGTTTTCAAGGCTCATTGTCAACAACTGTTGCTCTCTAAGGTTATTACTTCTCTTTCTCTCTTTGCACTGTACTTATTATACCTCATTGTGCTCCAAAATAGCAAACTGAGAGAAAACCTTAACAGACATGCTCTAAGCTGACAATTTCACATATTAAATCCTCTTGGAGAAAACAAGGGGGAAAAAATACAAAACATCTGTTTAATTCTTGATTTGTTTGTTTAGTAAATCATAAAAATGCAGAATCTATCATAAATGTTTTTTAAACTTAATTTTTTTTTTCAGTTTAGACTGAGACTATTTTCGGAACCTGGTTAAGAAAGGTTTATTTTAATGAGATTTATTATATAAAAGTAGTATATTAGAAAAGGCTATGCCTTCTTTTCCCTTGAATGTTCCTAAATCTGTTCAGAAACCCTGATTACATTTAGAATTGGTAGGGTGGTAAATAAGAAAAAGAACATAAAACCCAAACATAATCATTTCAGAGCTGATTGCTAACAAATTTCCTATGAATACTGAAAAAGAGCTAGACCACATCATCATACTTCCTCCACCATAATCAATGGGAAGCATTAGAGACTACTGGCTCCAATGTTCAACCTTTGTTTTTATCCCGCTCCAAACTTGAATTATTATTTCCTCTAAATTGTCTCAGCAAGTCACACATTTTCAGTTAACACTGTCCTAAAATTTCAAAACAGGCTTAAACCTGAATCAAATGGACTTTTGATCAATTATTCTGAAGACATTTAACACCTATCAAGGAGTCTTTGTCAATTCTGTCGGCTTGCAGTACAGCAATCTGTATTTACTTTTAACACATAGGCCATACACATTGATTTCTATCCTACTAGGAATATTATTAGAATTGACCTTCATGCTGCTTAAAAACATCAAATTAGAGATTGCTCTAGTGCGAGGCAATGGAAGTGACAAAGACTCCTGGATAGTTGTCGAAAATTTTTTTTAGAAAAAATTTAGTTATAAAACAGTGGCCATTTGAGACAGTTGTCGCAGGGAACACTGTCCTTCATATTCCTAATTAATCGGTTTCCGATAGAGTGAATCGAGGGTACCTTTAGTTGTTGGAGTTGGAGAAATGTAGTTTTTTTCTTTAAACTTTTTTACTATTCTCCATATTGTGGGAATAGAAAATAAAAAAAATCCAGGCAGTCTTTCAACTTAGATGTCCCCTTACACATATCCCTTGTAGCTTACTGCCCCTGCCCTCTTAAAATGAGTCCAAAATGCTTTATTTGAATAGCATGTTTTGTTGTCTTAGCTGCGTTGACATGTGTCACATCTTATTTATACCCCAGGACAACATGATTTGTTATTATAGTTTAAGAAAATTTGATCAAATGCAAATAAAGGACCAATAAGGGCTATTTCAACAAGTATGGTACTATTGATCTTGTGGGAAAGTATAGAGTGCTGATAGGCTTAATAATAAAAAAATATAAGTGTACATAAATTAAGCTATAGCAATAAAGGATGAATTCAGTTAAAGGATTTTTAAACATTTTTCCAGTGGTGTGTTTATATAAATTTGGAAGAACATGCCAGAAGATGGACAAATTTTATTACTTTGTGATTAGATTTACAGCCAAGTAAGAAACCTCTTAATGTCAGATCCAACGTAAAGTAAAATACAAATTTTAACTGTGTACTTCATTATTAAATCACTAAGTGGAAAAACACCCATAAAAGCAGCTGGGAGGCAGATAAAGGAGAGTGTAACGAAATAAACGTATCTGCCTTTGTACATATCTAAAGAAGGACAGAGAACACGTTGTTCAGCCAGCCATGTGCTTTATCTAGGAAATTACAGTTATAAAACCTGAGTAATATGGTTCATATCTGCTAAGTTGACAAAAAGACAGACATTGTGCAGCAGACGCGCTCTCATTTAAGCTCTTTCTGCGAGTTTCCACTGACAGATGTAAAAAAAAAACTGAGTGTCAGTCACTGCAGCAAATGCTTTCCAAAGCATCCAGATAAAAGCCACTGCTCACATTGCTTCTCTGTCACTCATGGTTTTATAGGCCTGACATACAAACTGTAACCTATTTGGGGTTCTTACAGCCGTAGGCTCCCAAAGGTGAAACAAGGTGGGTCCAGGTTCGAGTGCAACCTTAAACAAGGCGAGCAAACCCACTAACAGATTTGTTGACATTTCTACCTCACGTAGAGCTGTGCAGGATGAGGCAGGGAGAAAAAGGTCAATTTATATTTGCTCAGTTAATTTCTTTCTAGAATAGACTGTGGCTGTCACATCACAGCTGAGTGGCTGTATCCTAAACAGAAACAAAGATTAACATAACGAGACAATCAGGAGAGGCATCCCAGTGTGAAGGTGAGGAGTCATTATATTAGGAGGCAACAAATGAGCGACACGTGAGGTGCTCATCCACGTAAACTTGCATGCATTCAATCAATTTACATTTTACAAGGCCATCATAGGTAAGGGTGTAATTGTTTGAAAATGTGCTGCTATAAATATAAAGGGCATGTTTATGGATAAAAGGTCACCATAATGATGAGCTGCATACAGCATGTAATCATATATTTGTTTTTGTTTTTTATAAGTGGCGCTATATGATTTGTAAATCTTAAACTTTCTGATGAACAATTTGGTGTAGTTTTACTTGCATCTATTACCAGGCCTGTAGAATCAGTCAGTCCCCTGTCTGACAATTTGAAGTAGGCTAAAAGATATTACAAACAACAATCATGATTGGATCTAAAACAATCTGTTTGGCAAGAGTTCCAAAGCCATCACTAAGCCACTGAAACCCCTGGTAAACCACTGACAGAGCCAACTGTGGAGACCATTCCCAGCTTACCAAAATTACTCAAAGATGGTTGGTAAAGGTTTTAATGTAGCTTATTTATATTAGGGCTGAAAAAATTAATCGAATTATTAGTGATTAATTGATTATTTAAATAATAATTAACTAATTTAGTAATCAATTAATCATTATCTGGAGTGTAGAAACTGTAAAATATGCTTTAAGCTGACAGAGAAACCTTTTAGAGCAGTAATTATACCAAGACTATAAAAAAAATATATACAAATTTTAAATTTAAGATAACATTTTTTTTTCTTCTCTCAATATTTTCCATCCATAACTCCTCAAGTGGAAAAGTTTTAGTTTCACCTGATTGAATTTCGTAAAAAAAAAATTCTTTAAGGAACCTTTGGCTATCCGATTACTAATAGATTAATCAAGAAAATTGCAGATTAATTGATTTTCTAAATAATCATTAGTTGCAGCCCTAATTTATGCACTTAAAAAAATTGTGTGGTGTTGATCAAATCCCCAAAAATATAAGTGAATTAAACTTACCTCAGCAAACTGCAGCCGGCTAAATGTGCTGCCTGGAGGCATGGTCAGCTCAAAGTTCTTCTTGGGTGCCACCCAGGTCTCCAGGGTTTCCAGCTTACTTGTAGCCAGGTTAGTGGCATGGTGCTTGACCAGGTAGCCCTGGAACTGGTCTAAGTGGAAGTAGAGATGCACTGACACAGGGTGGCCCATTGGGAAGTACCTGGCAAAACGTTAAAAAGAAGAAAATTTCATTAAAAAAAACCTTAGATAAAAATTCACCATTCGAGCAGCTTTCTACAGCTAAGACTGAAAAGGGGAGGAAGTTATCAGGATTTATTTAGATGGTGTCTAAAGGGAGCCTGTCTTGCACATGCTAATGTGGGGGGATGCAAATGTGTACTTGCTGTAAAGGTTAGTGGGGAGTCAATGTGCTCTGTAATTGTGTGACATGGTGGACATTAATTCAATGACCTTTAACAGAGATGTAATCGGTCAAAGACATGTCGACAATACCAATCATGTGAGAAAGTGCTGCATGTGGGCTGTTAAACAAGCATTTCTGTGACTAGAGTTTTTAAGTTTTATTATCTGAGAATGAATATTAAAGCAATTCAGGAATGATGAAAATATAATACCTAAATTTACAATTCAGGTTTAAAGGCTGATTTTAGGTATGGTTTAGAAACAGGATTAGTTCGAACAGAGTACTCTAGAAGTACATTAAAATTTATTTTTCAGCTCACCTATAACAAAATATAAAATGGTAGATTATGGTATGATAGTGCGAACAGTTGGGTGCAGCTAAAACTAAATGCCATCCCCAAATCTAAGGTATTTTATTACAGTTTGATGGTGTTGATAAACTTGAAATTTAAGTCAGATTAAAAAAGGAGCCAAAAACAACAAAATCAATAAATATAACGCTATTCCCTGGTATCTTCTGATAAAAATGTTCAAGATCTGAAAACAAGCTGATTTAAACAATAATTTTTGAGCAGGGTAACCGATAAAAATGAAAACAAACATAACCTTCAAATATCATCAAAGTTCATCCTTTCCTCTCTCAAGTTCAACCATAAAAATATCCACATAAGGCTGACTAGCTAGGGGGCACTAGTGGGTGGGACACAAAGACATAGTGATGGGTTGTCCTCATCTTGGTCTTGCTACTGTTGGACCTCATGCTATCCTGGAAGAACAGTTAATTATTGCCGTAAGCACAGTCCTAAACCTTTGGAAAACCTTGTCTCAGAAGAATCAAATTTGTTATAGTTGCAAAGGGAGCCGCTGCCGTGTGGAAAAGCAAGAATACTTTGGAAATATAATGCATCTTAAAACCTTTGAGAACTATGAAGGGCATAATGATAAATAACAAACCCTAATGTTAAATAATGGCTGTTTGTGTTCTGATTTTAATGAATAAATAAAAGACATTTAAGCAGGAAGCACAGAGTTGAACTGGGTCATCCAGTTATCTGAAGCAGAATGAAGATCTTGCAGTGTGATTAGTGTGTTTATTTGTGCGAGGCTTCAAATGTGGCAGAAGGCAGCCCTAAGGGCTGTCAGCCAGAGTGACTTCTGGAAAAACATAAAAGGGTTGAGGGTCGGTGCTGCTAAGGGATGCTCAACAGCTGCTGATTGCTCATGTTCTCAATTCTTCTCACCCAGATTTCTAATCTCTCTGCTTCCTGAACTCCTATTCTTAACTTTTTGGACATATACACACACCTTAACACAAACACATAGTGTTCCCCCCCCCCTGGCTCCTGTGTGCAAGCAACCTCATCAGTATTCAGCTAAAGGACCAGGAGTCAACCAGAGCTGGCAAATGCTACCCTGACAAGCAGAACAGCAAATATTTACACCCCCAAGGATTGCATTGCACACTCCCCCAATCTCCTGCTTCATTTTTTGTGTCTTTGTCTTTCTCCTTTCCTTTACTTTCACCTTCACAGCTCTCTGCATCTTTTCCACATTGCTTTACCTCAGCTCTCAGGCCTTTCTGACCTGCCTTTCCAAAAAGCCAATATGAGAAGCAGAGCTAAGGGGGCCGGCCTGCATGCTGCACAGAAGCTCCATTCAGCTTTACTCCCCTGCCTCTCCAAGAAAGTCACAGCAAGCCTCTAAAAGATCAGAATCACTCTCCTGGTTCCTCTGCTCTTTTGCCACTATTATAAACTGAGGCAAAAGCAGACATGCATATTTTGCACGCATGTAGCAACTAAACACCCAGCCACAATGCATGTGCAACAGGCAGTTTATAGATAAAATCCAACGTAGGCATTTTACTGCAGCAAACTTCAAGGTCTAATCTAGTACTAATCAATTGAATTAGTTGGCTTTAAATGGTCAGATTTAGCATAAAACAACATAAATAAGATAGGGGCAAAAACCTTGCTTTGAGTTATATCATTTGACTAATTGTGTATAGAATTATTATGCCAAGAAAGAGAGGCTAAAGTTATACAATTGCAACTGAAATTCATCTCAAGGTAATTATTTTACTTCATTCTTTGTGGCTCTTAGAAAGTATTTTCATCAACTTAATATGTTTAAAGTTAAAGAAAGATTTTACTATTTTAAATATGCAAATACAATAAAATAGAAATATAACTTTTGTTTGTAGGAGAACTAAACCACAACAAAATTGGTATTGAAGAGACCTCAGGAAACCTCTTTGCCAACTGCAGCAGGACTGTCAGACCACAGGAAAAAAACAAAACAAAAAAAACAAACAAAAAAAATGACAGAAAATAAAACTGTCATGTTTCGAGTCCTGCTCCCACTGAGACAAGCATAAGCGTATTTGCAAAGGTAATTTGGGGTTTAAGTGCAGCGTCCACGCAACCTGGGTCTTAGTGTGTAAAGGTTTCAGATTGGTATTTCCATGTGTTTATGTTCATGTTTTTCCTGAAATGATGTGTAGCTCCGTCTCTCTCTGTAATCCACTTGCACCTCTTGGCCACCATGATGCAGTGATTTGTCTGCCCTTTCTTGGTGTTTTGGTCCACTCTTTTTGGTGAGTTTCGGTGACGGCGTCACAGCAGCTTCAATGGGTCTGACATAGATGCCACACTGTTTTCAAAGGCGCTGCAAACACTCCTGTCTATGCACATTCCTACTAAATCAGTTTGGAACAATACCGTTATTGTCTGGGTGTGGACAGGCGGTCAGTCTGCTTTTTTCCCATGCCTTCTCACTCTAAAGTAATCATTTTATTCAGCCAAAACGTAGCTGGTTATTGTTCTGCCGCCTCTCACCTGTTTCTGCTGTACTGAAACGCCCTTGGGAAACGCCATGGAAATCAGATTATTTTTAACACTTCTGTGTGTAGATTTCCAGGTGTAGAGTCCTGCCACTCTTTATTTTAGGATTCTCCATTAGTAATGTATGTGTCACAACAAAAAGCCTGGCTCCTTAATTCAATCTTATTGCTTCAACTAATGAGAATTTTGGACATGGTTCAAAGTTTCAGTTCTAACATGACTGTATGACTCCATGCAAAGTTCAAAAAGACATGGATAAGCTAATCTTAATATATATTAAACCCCATGGATTACATTACAAAAACATTCGGAAAAGGAGTAAAAATGTCTTAAAATAAGTTTATTTGAATAATTTATTTTGAATGATTTAATTTGAATAAGTAAATAAGATGATCTGCCAATGGAATGACTATATTTACCCTTAAAATAAGAGAATAAGATATTTTGCACTTGAAATAGGAGACTGCAGTTGTTTTATTCTTATTTTAAATGTGAATTGTCTTATTGCATTAGCAAAGTGTTTCACTTACCTGCTCAATTCAAGAAAAAAGGAACTTAGTTTAAGAAAAAAATTTATTTAGATAGCATTTAGATAGCATTTTTTGCAGTGAAGGGAATTTTAGCAATACAGTGTACATATAGGCATGTTGTTCTTATGTCCCTGTCCTCTATGTCAACAATGCAGACTCTGAATAGAGGCAGCTGTAGCTGAGAGATGCATTTTTTTTTAGGTTTGACACATGGAAACCATAAAACGTGGCTTCCTTTCATCTGCTGCTTTTACCTGGAACATTTTATAGAACACTTACAATGCAGCCAGGGGAGTGTGTGTGTGTGTGTGTGGTGGTGGTGGTGGGGTTTATCAGGCTCCTCACATCCTGCATGTGAAGAGGAAATTATCGCACTTCACACAAAGAGGCGTTTGCTACTGCGATGCTGCCTAGATTAACTCAACGAGCAAGTTCAGCAAGAGACAGCGGCCCAGACAGTCATTCCCTAAAACTTTCCCTGGTTGTCAAAATGCATATTAACCATGTAGAAAATAACAAGAAGCCTCTGAAAGGTTGGAAATATGTTAAAAAAATCTTAAAAAAAAGGCAAGCATTTAGATTTCATAGATTATACCCACAGTGTGCACCATCCTAAATATCTAAATTTAAACTTGGTTATAGTGAATAGAGAAATGCCCTGTTTGTATATACTTTTTTCAATGTTCTTAAATTGTTACTCCTTAAAGTAAATGTGAATTACACTGAGAAGCAGGAGAATGAACTTCAAAAAATGGTGCATCTCAGTTTGTCTCTGTTTGGAAAGGTTATTTAGATGTGTTTATAGGAAGGAAAACTAAACCATAACTATGTGAGAGCAGCTGCACCCGAAAAGGATTCCAACATTAAGGACATCCAGCTGACATAGAGCATTTCCTTCTTTTTATTTTAGCCACACACAGTATGTTAACAGCACACTGAAATTCATTTATTTCTATTAATAACAGACCAACTTTGCTCTCTGTGGTATGACCTATAAAGCCTCATTATCTAAGGGATAAATTGACGGTGTCATATTGTATTACGAAATGAAAGGCTTTGGACTGGCCTTCCAGTTGCTTATTGAAGTTATCCATTTTTATCCTATTTCCATGACATGTGATCTTATGAGACAATGCACAAGGAGCAACACAAAAGGCCCTTTATGTAGGGTACAATGTGGTTTCTAAAGCTAGTAAGGTCCATCTGGTGTCCAAGCTGCACACAGGCGTGGGCTGTAGGTGTGTTGTGATAGCAGCAATTATTAGCAGAGTGTGTGTAGAAAAATAAATGTTGAAGAGCTAAACACATCATGTACCAGAGATGCCTGTTTTCCATCTCATACTCACACATTTTTATAAAACTAACCTGCAGCTGTGATCATTAGGGTTCCCCTGGAGGGAGGCCGCAGCCCTCACCAGGCCCATCCGAGTGAAGGAGTGGTAGTACGTGAGCAGGGTGTCCGACAGGCTGGCAACGCCATCTGGCTCGTCATAAACATTATCCCAGTAGGAATTGAGACCCGGTGTTCCCTGAGGAAATGGTCCAAACAGGTAGGTATCCAGCTGGTTCACTATCTCCTGGTTCACGCTGGCTTCAAACTTTCTGGCAAAGAAGGTGGGCCGCACTGTTTGCTACAGAAACAAGGCAGGAGGCGAGCAGAGGAATGAAGCGGGGACAAAGGAGATAAAGAGGAGAAAAAAGGGAGAAGATTATTAAACGGTGTGTGCCAGAATGTGAGGGGAACAAATGTGATGTGTGTGGAAGTGACAGCTAGGAAAAGAAGAGAGAAAAAGGCTGATAAGAGGTAGAGTAGGTGGTGGCTGAGTACACCAGACAGTATATAGGAAAATCTTCTGAGAGATTTGTAAAGAAATTTGAATTTATATAAAATTAAAATGACTCCCTATCCAGTCTCACGTTTTTATCTAAAATATATTTTTATATATTACAGGGTTAATGGCTGTGTCAGAAGACAAGGGTAACAAGATAGGGGTTTTATGCTCACCTAGCATATATAGATAGTACAAATAATTTAATATAAATAAACAATAAACAAAAACGTTGTAGACTTTGTCATAAATTTCAGTCATCTAAATCAAACTATTACCTTTTAAGATAATGGAATGTATTAGTATGTAAAGAAGAAGTTGGTGAAGAAGACTTACATTATCAGAAATTAAGAGAGTGTCAAACAACTCGTTAAGTGACCTTGGTTTAAATCCGGCTCACACAGTTGGAATTCCGAAACCTGCTAATTTACATGATGCCCGTGAGCGCAACGTATGCACAGATCGCATCAATTGCATTTGCTATAAAAAAACTGCCAAAACAACTCTGTTTATACCACGCCGCGGCCCTGGTGAGAGGGATTCAGACAGATAAAAGAATGAAACAATAAAGAACACTGACTACGCCCTGGCTTCCTTACATGTTTCTCTCCATTGTCTACTTTCCTGACGCACTGATGACTTCATCAAGACTAACCCAGTGTGATACCATCACCAGACAGGGGCCACACAGCTTGCAAAAGGTGTTCGTTTTGTATACACTCTGTGTATATAAAATGACAATAAAAGTTATTTAGTGTTTATATAAAGAAAGCAAATATTTTGTTTCTGGAGTTGCTTATTTTTGTTAACAAATTGTAAATTACTATTAAATTATGATTCAAATTAATCAACCAATATATTAATCAAACCATTACAAAAGCTGCAGATTCTGACATATTATCCATAACATAATTATCCAAAAATATCCCTAAAGCCTTATGATTTGAACAAAAAACATGTTGATGTGATTCCACTTGTTAAAAGTAAAGTTCAACAAATATTAGGGATGGTCTATAAATATATTTTAACCTGGATTACAACCTCATTCCACTGAAGCTGTTGAGTGTATATAAACCTCAGACAGGACTCTGTTAGTACATAATGACCCTTGAACTGACTCCAAAAGATATAAGCAGAGGAAAATCATTTCTGTTTTAAAACAAGATAAACTAGACATTTCTTGATCACCCTCTGCTTACCTTACATCAAAATTGTTTAGCAGATAATCATTGGAGTTTTAAAGATAATCATACTTGTTTCACCACATTTTCAAACATTTTAAGGAAAATGGTCTTTAAACTTCTTTTGTGTCACATCGCAGAATTGGGAGTCAAAACTATGTCAGGCGGAGTAACCACCTGAGCGAAGTTGGCTCCTCTACCTTCTTCAAATCAGACAAAATTGGGAGTCAAACATTTGTGCTGTGTTGTGCATCAAAATTTTTGTTTGTGCCACTTTTATTTTAAAGATATAAAGAAATGTTTTTAGAGGTCAACAAAGGTCAACCAGCCTCTCCCCACCTTCTTCAAATCAGACAAAATTGGAGTCAAACATTTGTGCTACGTTTGTGCTGATTTGTGCAGCAAAATTTTTGTTTCTGCCAGTATCATTTTAACGATACAAAGAAAAGTTTCCAGAGGTCATCAAAGGTCAACCAGCCTCCCCACCTTCTTCAAATCAGACGAAATAGGTGTCAATTAACTGGACTCCGTTTGGGCTGTTTGTGCGGCAAAAATTGTTGTTTGTGCTGCTTTGGCTTTGAAAATATTAATCAAAGGTGAAATCAGACAAAACTGGTGTCAAACGTTTGCGCTACGTTTGTGCTGAATTGTGCAACATTTTCGTTGTCAAGCGAAACATCTCCAAAGTCGAAAAGAAAGTCCAGTGGATTGTTTTTTTACTTTTTGGCATTCACTGAATTTTCTAACATTTTTCTCCATCTATTAGTCACAGTCTCTATTTGTCCTCATTTCATTCACATCTTTTTCTGTGCTTTGTAATTTCGTCTTTAGTTGATGATGGCTTATGAATTTTGCCATCTCTGAAGCTTGGCTGGCACACAAAGGCATCTTCTATGAGTCCCAGACACCAAACTATTCATCTAACAGTGCCAAACACTTTGATGTAACCTGCTAGGGAAAAAAAACAACATGAAGAGATAAAAGAGAAGACCTAATGAAACAAAACCTTTTTTTTTTCATGTAGCAGTACCAGTGGGATATTGCAAAAACTTTTTGTTATGTCTTTATGTCATTTAAAATCCAGAGGAAGACCAGCCTGACACGTCATGAAACAACCACTGACACCCTTCACAGCAAGAGTGTTAAAAAATAACGTTGCTTAAGAAGGTTGACTGGAGGATAAATGTGGTCGAAATGTTTTATTTACTTAGAATATACAAAATTTACAGACTAATGAAAACATTATACTGTATTAAAGAATACATTTTATTTATTTCCTTAATTTAGTTTTTCTATTCAAATGTGCCACTGTGTGCTTTCATTTGCTTAAAAATGACCTGTTTATAAGACTGAATATAAATGAGGGACAAATAAAGGATAAAATAAATTTTAATCAAATCAAACTGTCATTATTGGGGTCCTTTTGAGTTCTTATTCTTTAATGTTATTTTTCTTTTTAAGCATAGTGTTAAGCTTGGCCATTACTCCTCAGTCCTTTTTTGTAATTTATCTTAGTTTAGTTTCTTTCATGTTAGATTTTTTTTCTTTATATCTCTCTGGTACTTTGACATAAAAAACATAGTTCAGCTATGTTTTTGTTGTTTTTCTTTTCTTTAATTAGTGTGATCAGGTTCATCTGCTGTCTTTTTTATTTATTTTCATTGCCACTAATCATACAACTCAATTCACCTGTAACCAGCCTTTGCTTTGCTCATATCTACAACCACTTTCTTACCAGCCAGTTTAGGTTCCCCCTTCATCAATGAAAACTACATTCATGCTATCTAACCCTATTATACCAAGCCATGCCTAGCCAAACAAAAAACACTTTCTGCTTTGTAAACTTTTGTTTTTCCACATTCTGGATGAAAGTGGAAAGATTAAGTTCCTCTATTTATTGTTTTAGCCTTGATCTGCCGGTCTGGACATGGGTCAATCCAAGCCCCACAGTTTCTGACACAAACATGGATCTGGTGCAACAGAAAAAATACAATATGATCACAGTGGCAATTTTCCCATAGGTTTTTCCTTCTCTAAAAACAAATATCTGGTTCAATCAAATGTACAGGAGCAATACTGTACAATTTATATTTTTTCTGGTAATTTTCAGGATATTCTGTTTATTCTAAAGTTATAGCAGCATGCTTTAAATAAAAAGTGTAGAAAAGGAATATTCCAAGAAAGCTCCATTGTGAAGCCAGTCTTAAAGCATAGTTTATGTCGTTCAAGACGTTTACTATCTGGGAGGTGAATAAAGTCTTTGTTATTGCTACACTGCTGCAGGAAAGATGTGCAACAGTTTTTACAAATGTGACTGGGTTTGTTTGTTTTTATAGATTTTAACTCACATAAACAAGTATCTTGAAACAATATTTTTTGTAGGATGGATTATATTGAAATATCAGTTAGTTTGAAACCCTAACTGGAAGCAATTCGCATAAAAGGTAACAGAAATAGCTATTATTTAAGTGAATTAGTGGATTAAATGAATATTTTGATGGTTTCTCCTCAATGAATGGACTTTAGATTCAACCAGAACATGTGGGACCCAGTTTAAAAAGTATTGTCTCATTTATTGCTAAAATTAAAAGGTGTTGTGTAAAGGAACTTATCAAGGTGTTTAATAATATTGGATCATTTCACATTTTTAGCAGTCTAGATCAATCTCATATTTTAAATTCCTTTTAGTGAAAATGTTTGTTTTTGTTACGTTTTTTTTTTTTCTATTGACTTCTCCAGTATTTTGGATGCACTTTATAAATAATTAACATCAATACTGAAATAATTAATGTGAGGATCAGTTAGCCCTCTCACAGGGCTGCTTTGTTTCCAGGGCCAGACCTCACGACACCATGCTGAGTGCCAACCAGACTCAGCAGCAGTGCCAAGGAGCTCAGGCTTATTCTTTGGCACTGGTCTGCCAGAGACAGAGGGGAGACAACTGGGTTTGGCAAAGGGATATTAGAGGTCAGATGAAATGACTCATCATGTGAGTGATATGACTAAAAACAAAGCTGAGGTGAGGCAGAACACTTAGGGTCACTTTTTCCAGCATTTTCTTTCTGATTCAAGTGCCCGTAAAATTAAAGAAGTGAAACAAACTTACTTTGTTTTGATAAGCCGGCAAAATCCTCATTCTCTCCAAGTACCAAAGGCAAATAGGATATAATTATAGCTAATGCTTTTTTCTCCTCTACCAGGGTCACGCTAATCGAGATGTTATTTTGTACATATTGAGAGTGAAAGCCGTGGGACGCTGAGCATGAGAGGACGGCTCTTTTTTCTAATCATTATTGACTTCTGTTGATTTTCTAAACGCTTCACTAGAGCATTAAAAGAAGACAAGTTTTCATGTTGACTTCTGTTTTTAAAAGCTTCAAAATGTTAAGGAAACAAGTTTAATATATCTGTTGGTTAGTATTTGCGCACACTTTATAGTTTATAATCAAAACAGTCTTTAAAAAAAATTTCATATTGAACTATAACTATCTTAAAATTAGACACATATACAAACCTCAAAGTTAATTACACCAAGTTGTAGAACAATCTCATTTTGCAAAAGACTTGTCTGCCTCTTCAAAAACAGAACTGTGGAAAAGTGTTGATTCATACTTATTACTTGTGCTTAAGTACTTAAAATCATCAAACAACTTGTCATCAGTAAAAAATAACCTTAGTAAAAGTGATAATTTAGATTAAAAGATAAAGCTATCCACATTGACCCTTTATAACCAGAAACTGTTAAGGAGGCTTTAAATTACTGATAAAGAGTTTTTGCAGCTCTGTGAAAGAATGTTGTCATTCTTCGCAGAAGAATTATTTTAAGTTAGCCTCGCAGAGGATTTTCAAGCATGAATGGTATCCTTAAGATTTGCAACAGAAGATCAACTAAAACTTTCATAAGGTCTAGTACTCAGCATTCAGGGCTGGTTATACTCCTGTAGCAGTGTGTCGCATTGAGCTTGACTCAGACATTTTTGATTTGCTCAGTATTGAAGCGTGGTCTGCGCTATACGCTGTGGGTCTAGATGTGGCCGAGGCGATGAAGAAGTGGGGGCAAGTTTAGTCCGACAATGGAGGGACATGACAACAAAAAAGAACAAGGATCCAAGTGGAAAAAGGGTCCCAGCGTTCTCGTGCACCGCGGTCTTCTAGCTGGTCAAACTTTGCGAGTTGTTTTCTGCAATTTCGGTCATAAAAACAAAACAAGCCGACCTCCTGTCTGCGGCACTGTCTGCGGTCAGTTACAATTTGGGAGAGGTGCAGCGGAGTGTTTGTGGAGGGGGTGGGGACGGCTTTTTGTTCACTGCGACACCTACGCAGAGGACCTGGTTTCGAAGAATAAATCAGCCTTTAGTTTTACACCAGATGAATTTGGACACAAGCCTTACAAAGAATTCTACTTTTGGTCATCAGCCCAGACAATATTTTCAAAAAGCTTTGAAAGATGTTATTTAGAATTTGTGAGTTTGGCTTTAAAATCATTGTTGTCTCTTTTGTCATTTTGAGGGGAGGGAATTGAGAAATAATAATCTGTGGTGTAGATATTGTTACATGTTCCTTTCTAATCTACTTGATGACTGTTTGAAAGATACATTTTCTACACCTGGACTTGGGCTCAAATGATTTAAGTGACTTCTTGATTGTAAATGGAGGTACTACCAATTGTTTGGAACTTAAGACCAGTCTTTTTGATGGTCTTGGTTTCATCCCACATTCAGACCCCTATCTCTCTGTCTTGGTCTTGACTTGGTCTCCCTATCTCTCCCTATCTCTCTGCCTTGGTCTTCACTTGGTCTCTGTGTCTTGGTCTTGACTTGGTCTCCCTAACTCTCTGTCAGGGTCATGACTTGGTCTCCCTATCTCTCGGTCAGGGTCTTGACTTGTTCTTCCTATCTCTCTGTCAGGGTCTTGACTTGGTCTCTCTATCTCTCTGTCTTGGTCTTGAGTTGGCCTCTCTATCTCTCTGTCTTGGTCTTGACTTGGTCTCTCTATCTCTCTGTCAGGGTCTTGACGTGGTCTCCCTAACTCTCTGTCAGGGTCTTGACTTGGTCTCTCTATCTCTCTGTCTTGGTCTTGACTTGGTCTGTCTATCTCTCTGTGTTGGTCTTGACTTCGTCTCCCTATCTCTCTGTCAGGGTCTTGACTTGTTCTCCCTATCTCTCTGTCAGGGTCTTGACTTGGTCTCTCCTTCTCTCTGTCTTGGTCTTGACTTGGTCTCTCTATCTCTCTGTCTTGGTCTTGACTTGGTCTCTCTATCTCTCTGTCTTAGTCTTGACTTGGTCTACCTGTTTCTCTGTCAGGGTCTTGACTTGGTCCCAGTCCTTGAAAGTCTTGATCTTATGTTGGTCTCGTTACACTCTGGCCTTGGTCTTGACTTGGTCTGGGTTTAGCTGGTCTTCTCTACTAAATAGGGAAAACTAAACCCAACAAATGGGGTGGATATTTTTTTGTAACCAAAAACAGAATAATCTTTGAGTTAGAACATGTCTTTTATTCGAACTGTGTTTTTAAATATTTTTTAAAACTAATATTAAAACTACAACCTTGTTTTCTTAGGGTGAAGGAAAAGTACATCTGTCACCAAGAACGTATTGAATATTAATTTGAAATGCTTGTACCTGGAAGCGGTGAAAATCCGATGGCTTGAAGTCATTGGGAGAGCATCCACACCAGTCCACAATGTGCTTGTACTGACACTTGCAGCCGAGTTTACGATTCCAGTTTGTAATGCGCAGGTTGTTATCCACCATACTCTCACAGTGGCCGCTGTTCTCCAGCACAGTGTGGAAGAATGACTGGGAAATGAGCAACGGAAATAGGCAGTGAGATAAGTAGGAAAAAATAAAAGGGACAGAAAATTAGAAACCTGTTTGGCAGTTGTTGTTTTTTTTCCACTCAATCCAATTCACAAGAGGAAATATGATTGGGATTAGGAAAAAAAGGAAACTAGGCTCACAACAGCTGATGATAAATATTACATTTCCCTGTAGAGGTTTGTGTTTTCACCCAACCTGAATACATGGCTGAAAATTTTACATCTTAGGCCTTTCCATCTCATATTAACAAAAGGAAAATCAATGGTGGTTTTGTTTGTTGGTAAATGATTCAGTGCAATTAGAAAGCAGGGCTCGTTAGTTAGTCACAGTAAAAACCAGATGTGATCTCGACTGCGGCTGAGACCTGGCCTGTTACCTCAGCAGGCAGCAGAGTGTAGGTGTAGAATTGCTTCATGTTGGTGACAAGATCATCCTTGGAGTTAATCACGTATTCTACAAACATGCGGTTGAGGAGGAACCAGTCAGATCCACCGTCCACGGAGATGCCATCTGGGATTTTTCGGTCACCCAGCCTCCACATGTGAGTGTCACACTCGTAGAAGAGTCGATCCAGCCCCTGCTTACGAATGAACCTGACCAAGACAAACCAGACCATCTGGTCACACAGCTGAATGCTGGGAACAAGTCTCCTGGAAAAGTAGATTTTTAATTGATGCCACATTTGTAGGAAAAATACAGTACAGTATACAAGTTCTCCACCATACTAAAGAGTTTAAAATCCTGTTATTAATGGTATAGAGGATAATTTTTGCAAATTTTTGAAAAGACTCGGCCTCTCCACTTTAAAAAAACAACATGAACATACACAACCATGTACCTGCTCCCAAGATGGAACGCTTATTAAACATGTGCAAGAGCATGCACAAGCCCATTTCTCCTTGTGCACACTGTTTAAAAGTTGGTGTTGGCATTGCTTATGCAAGCTTACTTTCCAAAAGAAGATTTACAATTTTCCACTATATGTAAGTGAAAATGGGGACGAGCACGTAGGACGGCATTACATAAAAATATCACCAGAATGATTGACGATTAGAGGACCACTTATTTTGAGGATCCATCTGGAAAAAGAACATCCTGCACTACACATTTAACTATTCCCTAATTATCTGTAGTATAAACAAGCTTACAGTTTGCCTTTGCCTTCTAACAAAAGAAACCTTTTTTTTAAAGTCAAGACAAAACCTCTTTCTTTGTCTATTTTATATGCACTCTTCTCTTTAAAGAAACTACAAAATTGTGAAGGAAAGGCACAACAAGCACAAATAAATGTTGGACAGAGAGCTCAGCAGCTACAACTGCTCACTAAATATTTCACTACAACCACAGCAGTACAGTGACAGCCTGCAGACACAGCAGGTGGTGTTACTCCTGCGGACAGATCAAGTGTTGCATGTAGGGAATCAAATTTAGGTCAGGCGGGTCAGACTGCTCCCTCTGACACAGTATCTGAACGGTTATATACACTGCTGATGTCTTGAAATGGTCCTGCTGCCTCATAAATTAATCTATGGAGTAAATGGGGCTAAAAGCGATTAATACAAATTTGGACATATTTAAGTTAATCAAATACAGTGGCTGCAACCACACGAAGCTGCTGCTCAGTTACATTGACTTATACCTCCTTGCAGGACATTGGTTCCCTCTGTTTTAGGTCTTTCTACACACTGTGATGCACGATCACTGGTCCACTACGAGGGCGCAACAGGACAGAAAGCAGGGTGATGTCAGCATAAACCACCGCCCTGGCAACAACCTCAGCCCAGCAAGAATGTTAATTAATGGAGCCCACAGATGGGAGCTAATTGTATTATGATTCAGTGTCCATGTTGTATTGGCACAAGTGCCGAACTGTATGTGGTGAAAGTGTGGGTACAAGTGGGTAAAAAAGACAGTGAGGAGGACAGAGCTGCTATGGAGGAGCTAGAAAGAAGAGCAAAAATGTGCATCTTTACCTTGCATTGTCCCTGCCATGGGATTTAATAAAATTCAGGTCTCTGTATTTGGACAGGAAGGCCACCAGCTGGTTATTGTTCCTGAAATAAAAAAAGAAAATTACTTAGCTTACTCTTGACTTGGAACATATGGTGAGTGTGATAAAGTGTAGGAAAATTGATTCTCCAGCACAAATTACAGGTTTGATGACTTTTTAGAGAACAGTTAAGCAAATGGGTTCATCTGTTACAGCCTAGTTGTAAAAGACACCTTAAAAAAGATAAATTATAGTTTATAACTGCCATACCACTTAGAAAAAAAAACTGTTTTTAAGTGTAAGCTCAACCTTGAAACTGAGAAGCTTTTTGAACCACTGCATGTGTCTGTTTTGATTTAATTAAAGTATTCTAAAAAAGATTTAGGCAATAGCATGTTTATCCAGGTTAAGAAAAAACGCAGTTTTAAAATTGACTCTGCAAGTAGGGGTAGTAAAGCTAACCAGTTCCTACCTTGAGTTAAAGCCTGTAATGTACTGCTATTAGAAGTTTACATACACCCAATATGGGCATGAAGGCCCTCATTCTTTGGCTTTTTTATCACATACATATAGTTAATACAATCTCTAACATTATTTGTTAACCATATTTGTTATGGTTTGAAGATTGGTAGGACTCAAGAGCAAGCAAAAAGTAGGCTATAGTTAGGCCAAGTAGTTATATAAACAGTTAGCTTAAACTATTTATTCACAGTCGGGTGTGTAGTATTGAGGAAAAAAATATAACTATTATTTGAATATGCTTTTCTAAAAAACTATTCTAAAACAAGAGAGATGACTAGACTGTGAGCCCTGATTTAAAACCACTGATTTTTGCGGACAATTTTATTACTAATTAGTATTTTTATATTAACATAAAGGATCAACATCTCTGGAATAATTGTAATTTTTACCTGGAAAAACTTAACAAGAAACCAGTACATCGTGTTATACAGTCTTAAGAAATCATTCTGTATATTGAGTCTTTTTCTTTTTGATGTCAGTCAATTGTCAAAAACCAATTAAAGTGTGTGCTTTGGTGTAGCAGTGGTTACTGAGCACGACCCATGTATGGAGGCCTTAGTCCTCCATGCAGGCGACCCGGGTTTGAATCCGACCTGTGGTCCTTTGCCGGATGTCTCTCCCACTCTCTCAAACCCCTTTCCTCTCAGCCTACTGTCGAAAAAACAAGCCACCAGTGCCATAAAAACTAATAAAAATAACAACTTCAATATATGTATTAATTTAATATTCTAGCTGAGAGGAAAAAAGATGGGGCAACAATACAGTTAATTTTAATAAGATATCATTTTAGATACAGGTGCTGGTCATAAAATTAGAATATCATGAAAAAGTAGATTGATTTCAGTAATTCCATTTAAAAAGTGAAACTTGTATATTATATTCATACATTACATACAAACTCATATATTTCAGATGTTTATTTTGTTTAATTTTGATGATTACAAATGACAACAAATGAAAATCTCAAATTCATCATATCAGAAAATTAGAATATTGTGAAAAGGTTCAAAATTGATGGCCCCTGGTGCCACACTCTAATCAGCTAATTAACTCAAACCACCTGCAAAAGCCTTTAAATGGTCTTTCAGTCTAGTTCTATAGGCTACACAATCATGGGGAAGACTGCTGACTTGACAGTTGTCCAAAAGACGACCATCGACACCTTGCACAAGGAGGGCAAGACACAAAAGGTCATCGCTAAAGAGGCTGGCTGTTCACAGAGCTCAGTGTCCAAGCACATTAATAGAGAGGCGAAGGGAAGGAAAAGATGTGGTCGAAAAAAGTGTACAAGCAAGAGAGATAACCGCACCCTGGAGAGGATTGTGAAACAACACCCAGTCAAAAATGTGGGGGAGATTCACAAAGAGTGGACTGCAGCTGGAGTGAGTGCTTCAAGAACCACCACACACAGACGTATGAAAGACATGGGTTTCTGCTGTCGCATTCCTTGTGTCAAGCCACTCTTGAACCACAGACAGCGTCAGAAGCGTCTTGCCTGGGCTAAAGAGAAACAGGACTGGACTGCTGGTGAGTGGTCCAAAGTCATGTTCTCTGATGAAAGTAAATTTTGCATTTCCTTTGGAAATCAAGGTCCCAGAGTCTGGAGGAAAAGAAGAGAGGCACTTCATCCACGTTGCTTGAAGTCCAGTGTAAAGTTTCCACAGTCAGTGATGGTTTGGGGTGCCATGTCACCTGCTGGTGTTGGTCCATTGTGTTTTCTGAGGTCCAGGGTCAACGCAGCCACATACCAGGAAGTTTTAGAGCACTTCATGCTTCCTGCAGCTGACCAACTTTTTGGAGATGCAGATTTCATTTTCCAACAGGACTTGGCACCTGCACACAGTGCCAAAGCTACCAGTACCTGGTTGAAGGACCATGGTATCCCTGTTCTTAATTGGCCAGCAAACTCTCCTGACCTTAACCCCATAGAAAATCTATGGGGTATTGTGAAGAAGAAGATGCAATACACCAGACCCAACAATTCAGAAGAGCTAAAAGCCACTATTAGAGCAACCTGGGCTATCATAACACCTGAGCAGTGCCACAGACTGATCGACTCCATGCCACGCCGCATTGCTGCAGTAATACAGGCCAAAGGAGGCCCAACTAAATACTGAGTGCTGTACATGCTCATACTTTTCATGTTCATACTTTTCAGTTGGCCAACATTTCTATAAATCCTTTGTTTTTATTGGTCTTCAGTAATATTCTAATTTTCTGATATGATGAATTTGAGATTTTCATTTGTTGTCATTTGTAATCATCAAAATTAAACAAAATAAACATCTGAAATATATGAGTTTGTATGTAATGTATGAATATAATATACAAGTTTCACTTTTTAAATGGAATTACTGAAATCAATCTACTTTTTCATGATATTCTAATTTTATGACCAGCACCTGTATTGTTTCAAATTTAGTTTCATGTACAAAAAATTTAAACAACAAAAATATAATTATAAAAACAACTGTGCAGGATAGATTAAGGTGACCCCATGGCCAACTCAGTATATCAGTTGTATGAAATATACACATTATAGCATTACTTTTAGTTTTTTTCTAAAAGAATGAATTTTAGTTGTGTATTGAAGAGCAGGTGGTAGGGATGATGCAAATAGAAGCCCCTTTATATTTAAGCATACTTTGCTTAACTGATGCTCAACAAAAAAAGGTTAAATAAAATAAAACAATCTTGTTGAATAAGTGTGTATATTTAAAAAATGTGTAAAAAAGCTATGAAAAAATATAGGCATAAACAGAGATATACAATACATGCTTCTATTGAAATATAAGAATCTTATGAAGAATTTAATCCTTATGATCAGTTTTTTTTTTTTTTTTTTTGTCAGAGCTGGGCGATATAGAGCAAAATAATATCTAGATACTTTTGAGTAGAGCTGCAGTATAAGGGATGAATAACTTTATTTCTGAGAATCCAGTAAAAAAAAAAAAAAAAAAAATTAACATGATTATACAAAGGTACTTGTAAATCAAAGCTTTGTTGCAAATGTTACACAATCATATCTTTTAACAAACAGCCATAGTTAAACATGGGAAATGGCTGAAACCAACCTTCTCCCATATGTAAAGGTACAATTAAGCACAACATATACCACCGTGATATAAACTATATACTATTAAGTTATATCTCAGTTGAAAAAATCTCAACATTTTTAAAATATCCATGTATTGCTAAGCCCTTTCATAAGTTACTCAAATTGTGAGTGATGGGGTCCTTCATGGGTCCTTGTGTTTGAGCTCTTATTGCTGCTTTAAATGGGCAGAAAAAAAAAGATGATGTACTGCATGTACTTCCATCATCCATAAATTTGTTTAAAGCTGGTGTCAGGCAGATCGGATGTGTCTCCTGAGAGATAAACTCATTATAAATGATGACCAAGGATGAAAATCCTTTTTTAATTCAAGCTTTGCAAGCTGTAGCTCTTAGTGTTCCTGTAAGGGGTAGTCAGATCAACCACTCACCACAAATATATATGTTTCAGCGCAAGAGAAACAACACAACAAAATATGTTTCCTTTGTACCTTTAAAAAAGCTTCCTGTTCAAATTAAAGTTTATAAACATCCACATTGCAGCAATAAAAACTCATTTGAAGCCAATGCTGGCTTTTGTGAGTGTTTGTAATACCACAAAACCAAACATATAAATCTCCATCTTAAGCGAGCACGGAAATGTTCCCCCTCCTTTGGACGAAAACAGATTTTAAATTGCAAATTGAACATACATCACGTCAAGCACTCAACTGGAAGAATGCCGCAAACACACAGGAATATTTTAGGTTTTTTAGGCAACTGTTGAGGTGCTTCGAGTCACACATACTAATCAATTAAAGATGTTGCCTGTATTACTCCTTTACTTCCTTCAAGCTGTTAAAAGCTATTTAGGATAACACAAAAGACTGCCGCTGTCCGCGGCTTTGATGAATGACTCCATGCTGCTCCGACGCTGTGGAGGGGTCTGCTTTCCCAATACAACGGCTAGACAGGCTGAAAGCTTTGCTCTGCAGGCTCTGCCTCAGTCAATGGTTTCAACATCTCATCTGCGTCGGAGCTTTTCACGTCGGCTGGGATTGTCTCTCTGAAAAAGAACAGCGAGGCTCAAGGTTCGGTGGGGGGAGGGACAAGTGCATATTAATGTCATTTTTCCCTGAAGGAGCAATTTCACAGCCTGGGGGGTTTATCTTAGGAGGTTGTGAGCCATAAAACCTAACGGATGATGTGATGCACAGACCTCTGTCTCCACCCCAACACACACAAACACACACCGTGTAACTACTGCTATGCACAGCGTACAGTTCTTGTGCAGAGACACACAATGCCTGCAGGAAAGTAGGTAGACATACACACATGCAGACAGAACCAGGGGAATTCATGTCAAGCTCCAGATTTGCCACCTGAGTGGTCACCCTGTCCACTGGGTGTAGTTTGCTAACTGTCAGCCCTATGGCCGCCCTGTCTCGCGCTGCTGTTCACACCAACAGACACACAGTCATATCTTGGAGCGCCATGTTTTCATTCCGC